GTACTATTTAGTACTTTTCGTACAATTTTAGTACGTATCTCCAAAACCACCACCATATCACAATTCCAGATGCCAACAGAGAGCTCAATATTGAATTTAAGAATTCCAGCTCTATTCCTTCACCCAATACCATATACAGGATGAGATGAACAAACTGCAACCAACTTCAGACTGTTATCAGTTCTAAGCCACACATCCGACAGCTGTTAACATTATTCCAGTGACAGCTCATTATATTGTTTACAAGCGTACAAAAGCATTTTGGAGAGAATTTTTCAGAAAAAAGTTATTCGTGATGGAATCCAAGCGTGATAGTGTGATTTCTTTACATTTGGCTGGAAAACCACAAGTGGCTATCGTTAGAGCATTCCAGCATTTAAAGGTAAATAAAGCTTTTGTGTCTCGTACCATCGCTCGTTGCCGTGATTGTGGTATCGTAGCCTGACGTCAAGGAAGTGAAAAGCAGAAATGATTCGAAAAGTAAAGAAGCGACTTGATCGAAACCCACGTCGCAGTGGCCGAAAATGGCTCGTGAGCTGGACATATCGCAATATCCCATTCGGCAAACATTGAAAAATGAGCTCGGGGTAGAGCCATTGAAATTTCAAAAAGTGCAAAGACATAAACCGCAACAGAAAGAAAATAGACTCAAAAGACCTAAAGAGTTGTTTCGCTTGGCCGAAAGTGGTGAACTGCCGAATTTGGCTTTCTCCGATGAGAAAATATTCGTTGTACAGCAGTTTGTACACAAACCAAATGATCGTGTTTACTTGCCAAAGAGGTCAGCTGAAAATGTGCACCTTCGGTTGGCCACCAAAACTCCAGCGCCTGCCATGGTGATGGTGTGGGCCGCCATAGCAGCCGATGGTCGCTCTCCGCTCGTATTAATCGAAAGTGGCATCAAAGTAAATTCCGAATATTATCGCGAAAATATTCTGGAAGGTGTATTAAAGTCAGGGCACGCAAACATTTTGGCCACAGACCATGGACATACCAACAGGAGTCAGCAGCCGCCACCCAAGAATGGTTACAAAATGAGGTTCCTCGCTTCATTTTCAGCGCACAATGGTCATCAAAATCTCCGAATAACAATCCGTTGGACTGTTGTGTCTGGAGTATTTTGGAAAGCAAGGTTGGCACTAAAAAATACCAAAGTGTCGATCACCTCAAGCAAGCGCTTCGCCGGGCATGGGCTAAAATACCGCAGAGCAACATTCGGGCAGGGTGTGACGGTTTCATTGGCCGTTTGAAGGCCATAATTCGTGCCAAAGGTGACCAATTCGAACAAATCTAAACTTATTCTAAATTTTGATGATATTTCCGCCATTTTTTGCTTTCATTCAATAAAATTAAAAAAAAAAATAAAAATTATGGCGTTTAACTTTGTTGCAGTTTTTTTTTTAGCTCACTCTGTATATCGGTAGGGTTTATGTAGTTACCAATTACTTACCAATTTCCTTAGCCACATTTTGGAGCTTCATTTCATTTCTGCCAATTAAAACCACATTAAAAGCACGACGTGCCAATTGCAGGGCATATTCTTTGCCAATGCCATCTGTAGATCCGGTAATGGCTAAAATCCAAAAAATAAATTCAATATTCATCTACCATTCAATTAATGAACCATACAAGCAATAATAAGGAATAGCCTACCTGCCCATTTGCCAAACCGCTCTGTTAGAGGTTCAGCTTTCCTCAGATATTTGTGATACCATAACAGCATTGGCGTCTTCAAACAATAATACAATTTGGCCAAACATGTCCAGATGCCAACAAAAGCAAAAAATGTCAAAATAATCATACTATAACGATCTATACAGCGTAGAACTCAAAAAGCAACTGATTTGGCCAGTTTTTGTTATCATTGGCCAGAGAGTTATTTTGGTTTGGAGTATGCGGCCGAATAATACTGCTGATTACGGTGCATAAACAAGATTTTAGCCGTATAGCAATGCAAAGTTCGTCGGCAGCGTTCCGAAACGAAATATTCTAACAATACCATTATCGAATATAAGAACAAAGTTCAATATAATTGTTGTTTTGAATTTCGAAATTAATTTGAATATGAACGGAATTTTTGGTAGGTCAGGTTTGGTTAACTCAGTGAGGTACAAAAATAGAAATGCACAAATTAAATTCTTTTCAATATTTTTTTGCACAGGTATTCTCGTGTTGCCTTCGCAAATAAAAGCAAAATATAAGTTAGTATTTATCTTTGCTTCAAACGGAGAACACTTCAAAAATTCGAATTCAAAACTATTTTGCCGGAATTCGAAGATTCGTATTTTAAAGTTATATGTCATATTTAAATTCCAAATTTAACCAAAAGTGACATCGATGCAGAATTGCGTTAGATATAAGCTGAATAGGTTCAACTTTCGTTTTATGGTGGATTGGGAAAACACCATCTATTTGAACTTAATAATAACCAAATGGGAATATTTTAGGGCAAATATTTACCAGAACTCATGGGGACTTATCTACAAGATCGTGATGCAAAGCTATGATCGAGAAATACTGCCGACCAAATAGACGAAGATGTTATGAAAATATAGTTTGCACTCTATTCCCAAAACATGACATCAGACATGCCATTGCTTATTATGAACGAGGTTCAGTAGGCAGACCCAAAAACAATAAAAAAACCGATCCTGATGGTATACCCGATGAAGTTCGGCCTGGCCGAACCAACAACGAATTTGGCAATTTTCAAAAAAAAAAAAAAAAATAAAATAAAAAATAAAAACCGTTAGTGACTAATGTAGCTAAAATCATACCGGATATAGGGAGGTACCATTATATAGGGGCCATACCAAGAGGTGGCAATTTTCTGTCAAAGGCTGTAGTATCCGTGACGAACTTAAAATACCAAATTTGAAACAATTCCGGAGAATAATGTCGCTAAAATCATCAAAATACCGAATGTCAGCAGGTGCCGTTATATTGGGGCTATACGAAGACGTGGACTTGCACTGAAAATTTTATGTCATAGGCTGTAGCATCCATTACGAATTTCAAATTCCTAACTTGAAACAATTTTGGTGAATAATGTCGTTAAAATCAAAAAAATACCGAATATCGGGAGGTACCGTTATATGGGGGCAACACATATATGTGGACCTGCACAGACAATTTTCTGCCATAGGCTGTATCATCCATTACGAACTTCAAGTACCAAATTTTAAACAATTCTGGTGAAAAATGTCCATAAAATCATCAAAATTCCGAATATCGGAAGGTACCGTTATATGAGGGCTATACGAAGACGTGGACCTGCACTGACAATTTTCTGTCACAGGTTGTAGTATCCGTTACGAACTTCAAATACCAAATTTTAAACATTTCCGGTGAATAATGTCGCTACAATCAACAAAGTACCGAATATCGGGAGGTACAGTTATATAGGAGCTATACGAAGACGTGAACCTGCACAGACAATTTACCGCCATAGGCTTTAGTATCAATTACGAACTTCAAATACCAAATTTGAAATATTTCCGGTGAATAATGTCGCTACAATCAACGAAGTACCGAATATCGGGAGATACCGTTATATGGCGCTATACGAAGACGTGGATCTGCACAGACAATTTTCTGCCTTAGGCTGTAGTATCCATTTCGAACTTCAAATACCAAATTTGAAAAAATTCCGGTTAATAGTGTCACTAAAATTATCAAAATATAGTATATCGGGAGGTACCGTTATATGGAGGCTATAAGAAAACGTGGACCTATATGGCCCATTTACGAAGTTAACCTGCCTACTGGCAAAATGTACATTTGTGCAAAATGTTAGCCTTCTATCTCAATTCGTTCGAAAGATAGCGTGATTACAACAAACAGACGGAGAGACAGACAGACAGCAGGACAGGCAGACATCGCTAAATCGACTTAGAATTTTACGCCAATCAAGAATATATATACTTCGTTAGGTCTGACATGAGTATTTCGAGGAGTTACAAACGGAATGACAAAGATTAATTAATGAGGGTATAAAAATTGTTCTCATATTCTATTCACAATGGAGTCGGGCCAAACTTTGAATACTCTCCACCATTTTGGAACAAATTTGGACATTTTAAAAAAAAAAATAATAAAAACCCAGTAATAAAAACCCAGGGTCCGACTATGTGATACCCTACACCACTGCATATACATATTGCATATTCAGTAGAGCTCCCGTAACAAAAGAATTTATTTGATGTAGATCATGCCACATATCAACATTTGGCTTTAGAGCTGTTATAGTTTGCTATAGAGTGTATGATATCACTTGGAGAAGGATTATGTTAAAAAAAATATATATCGGAACCGAGTTGCACAAAATGGAAACGTATGTCCCGAAATTCACTCCATTTGGGCTGATATTAGCCATTATTTGCACAATAAACCTGAAATCGGATTAATGATATATATGAGAGCTATATCCAAATATTAGCCGTTCTCGAAAAAAATTTGGCAAATGTATTTCCGAGCTCTACAAGATATCTGGTACCAAATATCATTGTTGTCGAATGCATATTACGAATTTGAGGGACTTAAACACCAAAATAGATGAAACATATATATGGGAGCTACACTCATATCTGAACCGGTTTTCTCTGAATTCGATGTACTTGCTTCTTGTCTGAATTCGGTCGGATGTACCAAAATTTAGAACTCTTGGACTTATATTGACCGTTTGGTGCACAGTTAACCCAAAATCGGTTGAAGATATAGTACCTCCCCCACAAAAGATCGAAATTCTCAAAAAATATATCTTCTGCACAGAAAAAGAAACGAAAATCCGATTGTGTTCCAACTTTGCATATCCTAATATTTGCGTCAGTTCTACGTCAAGTGCGAATATGGACAATATCGGTCTACTCCATCAAGTACCTCCTCCACAAAGGGTCAACATTTTGAATAACAATAAGTCTTATAAAACATGATGTAAGAATCCGATTGTCTTAAAATTTTACACAACCCAATATTATTATAAACTCAGGATCGGGTGATAAGTTGAAACATATCGGTCCACTCCTTCTGTAGGACGCGTTTTTTTATTCGATTTATTTACTGTAATTCTCTTACATTTAATTTTCAATTTATTTTTCATTCCTAACTTTTACCCTCTTCTCATCGTTAAGTTTTGTAATCGTCTCCGAGTAGTCGTCTACTAAGCATTTTGCAATCAAGTCAAAAACTTTTGCCCGATAGTAATAGGGCACCATCTTAAGTAGAACATCCTGTGAGATAGATATTAGTTCCGAATTAATATTTCATATCAAAAGAGACGGATATAAAACGTTTACTTACATTAAGCGTATGCCAGAAATAACCCGTAGTCGTATCATCCTTGCCCAATGTTCGAATAGCATGTCGGGCATAAACATCAGCTGTGGGCACAAGAAAATTGCCTCTTTGCAAATACGATGAAAAGTCCACAAGTTTTGTGGAGACAAAGTGCGGCGAGAGTAATTGTACCGTTATACCCAAGTGTCGGACCTCATATCGTAGTGTTGTGGTAAAATTACGCATATAGGCCTTAGTGGCACTATAAATCCCACCATAAGGTGCCGGATATGATTCCAAGCCTGACGATACATTTACAATGCAGCCTCTGGTGCCATTTCCCTCCCAGACTCGCACAAAGTGGAGACTCAACTCGGTGGCGGCAGCCATGTTGACATAAATCATATCCCATAGAAGTTTTCGGGGAAATGACCACATTAGGTCGGTCCGTCCGGCATATGTGCCAACGTTGTTAACTAAAGAGAGGTTGCTTAAGAATGTAATGGAAAACGTTGTTGGCATTTTATCCACTCACCCAATAAACCAATTGGCTTTTTCGCCAATGCCTCAAAAAGTTTTGCATAAATTTCGGGTCCAAGGGAAAAATCTGCCTGTATGGTCATTACTTCAACACTGAAACTGTTTTCTTTGAAGAAAAAGTAAAATATTTAGGTCTCAATAAAAATTAATTAATTTCGGATGTTTACTTACCAATTTCCTTGGCAACATGTTCCAGTTTATCTTTATTTCTCGCAATTAGGACCAAATTAAAGCCGCGATGTGCCAGTTGCTTGGCATATGCTTTGCCAATGCCATCCGTAGATCCTGTAATAGCTGTAATAAAAAATTAGGTAAACCAAAAATTATCGTTGAATTAAAATAAAGTAAAGTAAAGTTAAAAGTAAAAAAGCTGTATGTTCGGCCAGGCCGAATTTTGAATACCCTCCAAAATTTTGAAAGAATTTGGAAATTTTCAAAAAAAAAAAAAAAACAAAAATCATAACAATAATTATAAAATCCACAGACGTGGACCTGCACAGACAATTTTTTGTCACAGGCTGTGGTGTCCATTATGAACTTCAAATGCCGAATTTGAAACAATTCCGATGAATAATGTCGCTAAAATCATCAAAATACCGAATATCGGGAGGTACCGCTATATGGACGCTATACGAATACATAGAGCTGCACGGACGATTTTCTGACTTAGGCTGTAGTATCTATTACGAACTTCCAATACCAAATTTGAAACAATTCCGATGAATAATGTCGCTAAACTTATGAAAATACAGAATATCTGGAGGTACCGTTATATGAGGGCTATACGAAGACGTGAATCAGGACTGACAATTTTCTGTCTTAGGCTGTAGTATCCATTACGAACTTCAAATACCAAACATTTCCGGTGAATAATGTCGCTAAAATCATCAAAATACCGAATATCGGGAGATACCGTTATATGGGGGCTATACGAAGACGTAGACCTGCACAGACAACTGTCTGTCATAGGCTTAAGCATCCATTACGAACCTCAAATACAAAATTTGAAACAATTCCGGTGAATAATGTCGCTAAAATCATTAAAATACCGAATATCGGGAGATACCATTATATGGGGGCTATATGAAGACCTACACAAACGATTTTCTGTCTTAGGCTGTAGTATCCATTATGAACTTCAAATACCAAATTTGAAACAGTTCCTGTGAATAATGTCACTAAAATCATCAAAATACCGAATATCGGGAGGTACCGTAATATGGGGGCTATACGAAGACGTAGACCTGCACGTACAATTTTCTGTCATAGGCTGTAGTATCCATTACGAACTTCAGATACCAAATTTGAAACATTTCCGGTGAATAATGTCACTAAAATCATTAAAATACCGAATATGGGGCAATTCGAAGACGTGGACCTGCATAGATAATTTTCTGTCTAAGGCTGTAGTATCCCTTACTAACTTCAAATACCTAATTTGAAACATTTCCGGTGAATAATGTCGCTAAAATCATTAAAATACCGAATATCTGGAGGTACCGTTATATGGGGGCTATCGAAGACGTGAATCAGGACTGACAATTTTCTGTCTTAGGCTGTAGTATCCATTACGAACTTCAAATACTACATTTGAAACATTTCCGGTGGATAATATCGCTAAAATCATTGAAATACCGAATATCGGGGGTACCGTTATATGGGGGGCTATACCAAAACGTGAACATATATGGCGGATTTTCAATACCAAAAGTCCTGCAGACCAAACACACATTAGAGTAACATTTTATCAACTTGTTTCAATTCGTTCGGGAGCTAGAGTGATTTCCACAGACTGACAGCCGGATAGACGTACAGACAGCCAGACGGACGGACATCACTAAATCGACATAGAATTTTATGCTGATCAAGAATATATATACTTTGTGGGGTCTAAAATGTATATTTCGAGGTGTTACAAATGGAATGACAAACTTAATAGACCCTTCATACTATGGTGGAGGGTATAAAAATACGATGCCTTTAATATCCTAACATATCTCTTACCGAAAACCCCTAAAGTCTAAAGCCCCGGTAGCTTACAATTCCGTTAAATATAAAACGACAACTCACCTGCCCATTTGCCAAATCGCTCCGTTAGAGGTATATTTTTCGTCAGATATTTATGGTATAACAATAGTACTGGTGTTTTCAGACAATAACACAATATACACACACATATGTAGATGCCAATTATTGCGAAAAATCCCCACATAATCATTATATGATGCTGTAAGAATGCAATCTTTACAAATTCGAATCCAGAACGCAACTGATGCTGTTATACATCGGGTAAAGATTAATGCATGCATTAAAGAGAAATACAAAAGTTCTAAGTGCAAAATCTATACAGTTGTGACAAAAATAATAGCACAAAAAGTGGTTTGGATTCTAGTAAAGCATTTGACACGAATTATTGACATATAAACTTGATTCCATGGGCTTCCCTTCAATAATCCTTACATGGATATCCACTTATTTTGCAGGAACGTGACCAAAAGGTGTCTTTTAATAATATACTATCTAAAAATACAACTGTACATTCTGGGGTTAATCAAGTTGGTCATTTGGGTCCACTACCTTTTATACCCTCCACCACACATAGTATGGAGGGTATATTTAGTTCATATATAACAATAATTTAGAACCAATAAACTATATATGTATATTCTTGATCAGCGTAAAATTCTAAGACGATTTAGCCCTGGCCGTTCCTTAAATTTTGCACAAATCAGTCTTTTGTCTGCATGCAGGTCAACTTCGAAGATGGGTTATATCGGTCGACGATATCGGTATTTTAATGTTTGTAGCCAAATTTTTCAATGAATTTGTCTGAAAATCCATACTAGAAGCTCTTTCTAAGCACATAACCCCCTAGAAGAGAAAAGTCTATATAGGTCCATGATATATCAGTACCTCCCTATATTGTCTATATAGGTGCACGATATCGAATATCCCCCATATAATGGTATTTCGATGATTTTAGCTAAATTTTTCAATGGAATTGTCTAAAAATCCATACTAGAGGCTCTTTCTAAGCACTTAACCCCTCTTGGAGAGAAAAGTCTATATAGGTCCACGATATATCAGTACCTCCCTATATTCGGTATTTTGATGATTTTAGCTATATTATTCAACGGATTTTTTTTTCAACTTTCGTACTTGAGTATTGTAATGGCTTAAGACAAAAGTTGCCTATGCATGTCCACGTTGTCGTTTAGACTCTAATATGACGGCTACATTTGATATTTTTAAGATTTTAACAGATTTTTTTTACGATTTTTTTTTTTTGCAAATTTTCAAATTTTTTCCAAACGGTGCAGGGTATTCAATGTTCGGCCCGGCCGAACTTACTTTTTTTTATTGTGCACCAAACATTTATTTATTAGCCTTGTCGACTGACTTCGGAATAGGAAGACAATTGAAAATCTTTAAAAAAAAATTGTTCTAAAACAAGTAAAAAAATGTTAAGTTCGGCCGGGTCAAACTTTTAATACCCTCCACCTTAGGGTAAAGGAAACATAAGAGCCCATTATGACCCACATATACCAATTCATGGGAAAATGTGCCAAAAATCATCAAAATACCGAATATCGGAAGAGAGCGTTACCCCAAAGCGTGGACATATATATATACAGTGTTTCGCCAAAAGAGCTAGAACCCACCAATTTCTACACAAATCCGCGAAGAAATTTGTCAAAAACCATTAAAATGCCGAATATCGCGAGGTACCGTTATATGAAGGCTATCCCCAATCGTGGACCTATACACGCAATGTTTCGCCAAAGAAGGAACTCATTATGACCCACAAATACCAATTCTCAGACGAATCCGTGAAAAAATGTGGCAAAAATCATCAAAATACCGAAAATCGGGAGGTACCGTTATATGGGGACTATACCAAAACGTGGACTTATATACGCAATGTTTCGCCAAAGGAACTAGAACTCATTATGACCTACAAATACCAATTTTTAGACAAATCAGTGAAAAAAATGTGGCAAAACCCCTTAAAAATACCGAATATCGGGAGGTACCGTTATATGGGGGCTATACCAAATTGTGGACCCAAACATGCAATGTCTCGCCACACAAACTGGGACCCGTTATGACCTACAAATACCAATTTTCAGACAAATCAGTGAAAAATTGTAGCATAAATCATCAAAATACCGAATATCGGGAGGTACCGTTATATGGGGACTATACCAAAACGTGGACCCATGTTCAATACCAACCATCCTAGACACATTACAAATTGCTCTGCTAAATTTTGGCGCTCTACGTTAAATAATGTGGGCTGTATCGTGATTTCAACAGACACACGGACAGACAGACGGACAGACAGACAGACGGACATCGTTAAGTCGAGTTAGAATTTTATGCTGATTATGAATATATATACTTTATGGGTTCTACGACGAATATTTGAGGATGTTACAAATGGAATGACAAAGTTAATATACCCTCCTTTCTAAGGTGGAGGGTATGAAAATAGCGTTTAAATGAAACCCGTTATATGGGGGCTATGCGAAGACGAGATCCTACATCAGTATTTTTTTTTTTTTGTCATAGAATGTAGTACGGATTCCGGACATCAAATGCAATTCAAATCAAAATACCGAATATCGGGAGGTATCTTTATATGGTGGGTATACGAACATATGCAGTTTTTTGCCATAGACTGTACTAAATGAAGACAAGGTCTTGTATGCGCAATTTTTTTTGTAGCACCCCTTCAAATACGAAATTTAAAGCAATTCCGTCGAATAATGTCGCTAATATCATCAACATACTGAATATTGAGAGGTACCGTTGTATGGGGGCTATACGAAAGCTAGGACCGACATGACCCTTTTATCTACTGGCAAAATACACATGTGGGCAAAATTTCAGCCTTCTATTTCAATTCCTTAGAAATATAGCGTGATTACAATAGACGGGCAGACCGGCGGACAGACAGACAGACAGACCGTCATCGCTAAATTGACTTAGAATTTTATGCTGATTATGGCGCCGTGGATTGATTTTGGAGAAATAGCCTCATTTTTTCACACTGCTGGTAGTTCATAAAGTAAGATTGTTTACCTTAACTTTGTGATAGATTTTTACGCTCCCAGTAGTTACCAAATATTTTGCTTGTGCTATTATTTTTTCCATTAGTTTTGACTATTTTTATTTTTAATGGCAAGAAAATAATTTTTGTAACAAATCAATATATTAATAACATAATTGTTTTACCGGTATAAACGTAAATATACGTTGACCAAATAGGTTTGGGGGGAGGGCTTGTATGGTAGCTAGCTTGGTTTAATAGCGTTATTTTTATTATTATGGATTGTATAATAAACATTAACTTTTTCCTCCACTGTCCATAAGTCGTTGCTCGTCTAATTATTTTTTAATGCAATTAAATTCCAATTCTATCGCTTATTGTGAAATTACAAATCGTGTGTTAAGTATCTATTTAATGTATGATTAACTTTTGAGGTCAATAAATTAATAATAATAAACAGAGAGAGAGAGAGAGAGTAAAAAGTTTACAACATCTAAATCTGTAAAAAATCTCATTACCAAATAATGTGATACCTACGCAGTTTTTGGAAGTTGTAACTACTTACAAATCAACCTAGTAACCCCTTTTTTCACAGGGGTATGTCACCCGAAATCAAATTGCTCTGTCCCAACATCTGCAAGAACGAAACATGACTTTTCCTTTATGATATCGAAAACAAGTTAAAAAACACCTAAGTTCGGCAGGACAAAAGCCATGCTCATCATCATGAAAGAAGGAGCTTGGAAATTTCAAAAAATCGCTCAAAAACTACTACTTTATTGAAAACCGCATTAGTAATTTTTATGCCCTCCACCATTCTATGGAGGGTATATTAACTTTATCATTCCGATTGTAACTCCTCGAAATACTCATTCCAGACCCAACAAAGTACATATATTCTTATTCAGCGTAAAATTCTTAGTTTATTTAGCGACGTCCGTCTGCCTGTCCTACAGCCTATGACAGAAAATTGTCTGTGCAGGTCCACGTCTTCATATAGCCCCATTTAATGGTATCTCCCATTTTGACGATTTTAGCGTCATTATTCACCGGAGTAGTATCAAATTACGCATTTAGAGTTCATAATGGGAACTACAGTCTGTGACAGAAAATTGTCTATGCAGGTCCAGGTCTTCGTATTGGCCCCATATATCGGTACCACCCTATATTCGGAATTTTGACGATTTTAGGTACAATACTCACCGAAATTGTTTGAGATGTCGTATTTGAAGTTCGTAATGGATGCTACAGCCTTTGACAGAAAATTGTCTGTGTAGGTCCAGGTCTTCGCACTCCTCCGATATAACGGTACCTCCCTATATACGGTATTTTGATCATTTTAGCTACATTATTCACCGTTTATGACAAACAAAGCCTATGTAGGTCCACGTCGTATAGACCGAAATATAACGGCTATATTCGGTATTTTTAAGTTTTTAAAAGAATTTTTAACGGATTTTAGTTTTTGAAATTTTCCAAATTCGTTCCAAATGGTGGAGGGTATTCAAATTTTGGCTTGGCCGAACTTACTGTTTTTTAACTTGTTTGTCATTAGTGTAGTACCGCTTCCGAACTTAAAATACGAAATTTGAAACATATGTGGTGAATAATCATCAAAATACCGAATTGAAATGGGGACTATGTGGACCGGCATAGACAATTTTTCGTCATGGGTTTTAGAGCCCATTAGGAACTTCAAATTCAAAAATTGACATATTTCCGCTGAAAAGTCTGACACAAATCATCAAAATATGGAATATCTGGAGATAAAAGGTGCAAGGAATCGCTGACTTGTTTAGCAAGTAATGACAGATAAAATTTGAAATTGAAAATTGTGAGCCTTTGTGGGGGAGGCATCAGAAGGGGTTCGCAGATATATTTCATCTTCACAACAGATCTTGTGTTAGCAAAAATGTTTATGTGGGTGAATTTAAAGATAGTTGGATGTTTATTTCAATTTCTTTGAGCGTTTTGTTTTTCAAATTTTGAACCCTATATAGGGGAGGTACCAGAAGAAATAGTCGGATTTCTACCATCTTTATGACAGATCTCCTGTCAATAAAAATATTGAGATGTACTAAGACTGGAATCGGATGTTAATTTCGAGTTCTGAGGCTCATGGGTATACAAAATTTTGACAATTTTGTGGGGGAGGTACCAGAAAGAGTCCACCGATATATTCCATTCCATTTTCACTCCAAAATATTGCGATGTGTGTAATTTGAAGACAATCGGACACTTACAGGGTGAGATAAAAAACTCAAAGGCCATAATTTTTAAATATTTTTTTAATTTTTATTGAATGAAAGCAAAAAATGTCGCAAATAGCATCAAATTTTAGAATAAGTTTAGATTTGTTCGAATTGGTCACTTTGGCACGAGTTATGGCCTTCAAATGGCCATTGAAACCGTCACACGCTGAGTGCGATGGTGCTGAGTCCTGTTGGAATGTCGAAGATCTGCGGCCAAAATGCTTGCGTGCCCAAGGCTTTAATACACCCTCCAAAATATTTTCACGATAATATTCGGCATTTATTCTGATGCCACGGTCGATTAATACGAGCGGAAAGCGACCATCGGCGGTTATGGCGGCCCACACCATCACCATGGCCGGCGCTTGAGTTCTTGTGGCCAACCGAAGGTGCACATTTTCAGCTGACCTCTTTGGCAAGTAAACACGATCATTTTGTTTGTTTACAAACTGCTAGACAACGAATGTTTTCTATTCGGAGAAACCCAAATTCAGCAGTTCACCACTTTCGGCCAAGCGAACCAACTCTTTAGCTCTTTTGAGTCTAATTTCTTCCTGTCGCGGTTTAAGTTTTTGCACTTTTTGGAATTTCAATGGCTTTACCCCGAGCTCATTTTCCAATATTTACCGAATGGAATATTGTGAAATGTTCAGCTCACGAGCCATTTTTCGGCCACTGCGACGCGGGTTTCGATCAAGTCGCATCTTTATTTTATTAGAGGCTGAAAATTTTAAATATCCATTAAGATATTGAAAATTTTAAGCCTTTGTGACGAAGGTAAAAGAAGAAATGGTCCGATCTCTACCGTTTTTATACCAGATCCTGTGTTGATAGAAATATTCAGATGTGCTAAGTCTAAATTTAATCGGATATTAATTTCGCTTTTTATGAGCTCAATCGATATTCAAAATTTCGACCTTTTGTGGGGGAGGTACGAGAAGAGGTGGACCGATATCTTAACACCAAATCTTAGAGTTATAAAAATATTGGGATTATGACTTTAAGACAATCGCATTCTTACATCACATTTTATAAGAGTTGTAATTATTCAAAATTTTGAACCTTTGTAAGGGAGGTACCTGATGGAATGGACCGATATTATCCATTTTCGCACCTAACCTAGCGCTGATGCAAATATTAAGATCCGGAAAGTTGGAGCAAAATCGGATTATCCTTTCTCTTTCTGTGCAATAAATTATTTTATGTGGACATTTTGACATTTTGTGTGAACGTACCAGAAGGAGTGGACCGATAGTGTCCATCGCCGAACTTGACCTTTAGTAAATAAAATTATTGGGATGTGTGAAATTTGAAGACAATCGGACTCTTACATCACATTTTATAAGAGATGTAATTATTCAAAATTTTGAACCTTTGTAAGGGAGGTACCTGATGGAGTGGACCGATATTATCCATTTTCGCACCTAACCTACACTGATGCAATTATTAAGATATTGCATCAGTGTAGGTTAATTAATTATATATAAGATTGGAGCAAAATTGGATTATCCTTTCTCTTTCTGGGCAATAAATTATTTTCTTTGAAAATTTTGACATTTTGTGTGGGAGGTACCAGAAGAAGTGAACCGATATTGCACATCTCCGAACTCGATCTAAGTTTAATAATAATATTACGATAAACCACGTATGGACCAAATCAAATACTCCCTTCGAGAGTTATCGTGTGCACCAGCCAGCTAGACAGACAAATGGACGGACGGAAATCTCAAGGTGTACAACAAATGTCTTGAAACGGATTTGGTCCAAAGAGACCTAGGGTCTAAGACCGTTATTTCGGTGAGGCACGTTTTGACCGTATCAATTGATATATACCCTCTCTAGACATATGGCTGAGGGTATAAAACCAATATCGAATGCTAAAAATAAACTATAAAACATGTTTATAGTAAAACAAGTAAAAAAGCTGTAATTTCGGCCGGGCCGAACTTTGAATACCCTCCGTCATTTGAAACGAATTTGGCAATTCTCAAAAACACTAAAATCCGTTAAGAATTCTGTGAAAATCTAAAAAATACCGTATGTAGATGTTGCATTAGGGTCTATACGACAACATGGACCTGCGTGGGTAACTTTTGTCATAAGCCATTACAATATTCAAATGCGAAACTATAAAAAAATTCCGGTGAATAATGTAGCTAAAATCATCAAAATACCGAATATTGGGAGATACAAAGGGGGTTATAAAACGTGGACCTGCACACATCATCGAAATAGCGAATATTCTGAGGTACTGTTATGTGGGGGCTCTACGAAGACGTGGACCTGCACAGACAATTTTCTGTCTTAGGCTGTAGCATCCATTTCGAACTTCAAATACCGAATTTGAAACAATTCCGATGAATATTGTCGCAAAAATCATCAAAAAAGCGAATATCGGGAGGTACCGTTATATGGGGGCTATACCAAAACGTGGACCTACATGGCCCATTTTCAAATACCAAAAGACCTGCCGACATAATATACATTTGAGTAAAATTTTATCAATCTACTTCAATTCGTTCGGAAGCTAGAGTGATTTCCACAGACGGACAGGCATCGCTAAAGCGAAATAGAATTTTATGCTGATCAAGAAGATATATACTTTGTGGGGTCTAAAATGTATATTTCGAGGTGTTACAAACGGAATGACAAACTTAGTATACCCTCTATACTATGGTGGAGAATAAAGATAATTGGATTATTACTCGTTGAGAAGGTGTGGATAATTATTGGAGCTAGATCATGATGTTGATTTAATTTTTTCCCGTGTCATTTATTTGATGGAGAACATTGTTTGTGGAGCAAGTATTAATAACAATTGGGAAGCGATCAATTTCTCATACCTTAGAGAAATGCAGCGTTCGTTGGCGCATGACGAGTAAGAGGTTTTAGTTGCTTATTAAAAACTGAGAAAGAAGTCTGCTATAGCCTTAGGCGGCAAGTAAAAATCGTTGCAAAGGGAATTCGTTGATGGTGGAAGGGTCAGGCCAGGGATTGTGCATCTGTGGTGATCAAACCTGGCGCCAACAATCGGGAATTTTTTTTGTTTTTCCCCATTGGCTACACCTTTACAGGTATTTTCTGTTAAAAAAAAACTATTTGTATTTGTTGTGTTTTTAAATTATTTATTTATTTTTTCTTCTTTTTATCTTTCTCCTCCTTAATATCCCCCTTTTTAACATGACCAAAAAATGTCCAACCAAATATGCTGCACTGGCTCATCGGCAGCATGGGATTTGTTTTCGGTGCCCCAATATAAATATTTGTCGCCAGATCGGATCCCAAGGTTATGGGCGCATAATCAGGATTCCAAAAATGAACATCGGCTACACTGATTTTATTCACTCGACGCAAAATGTTATCTCTCTTCAGCAGCAGTTTTGGTGTCTTCTCCATTGGCCGGTCGACAACCTTAAGATTGGCCTGGATTTTATGTCTTTCCCCACCATCAAATCGAGACCACAAATAAACGAGCACTGTTTCGGGACACAGTTTGGAATTTGTTAGCGTTCGAATTTTATATATCGACCACGCAGCAATTGAGGAATATGCTTGACTTGGATCCAAACGGATTCTCCAGAGAACACCTTCTTCGTTGGTAAATTCAGCCAAATACACCATTGCTGTCATTTCCAGCTGGACACTGTGGGAATCCTCATCGGAGTAGTGGAGTATTGTATTGTGACTTCGTTGGCATTTGTGGCAGTAATCCTTGCTAGGGCAGTATCTCACCGTATGCGTAGTTCCCAGGCAATTGCGGCAAATCCGTTCTCTTTCGATAAAATCGAGTTTAATGTCATACGGCATGGACAGAAATCGCCGACACTTTCGCAGTGGATGATTCCGCCTGCAGAGGCCGCAATAAGAGTCCTCAGGTACAATAAAATTGTTCGACATACTGTGGAAGAGTAGATAAATTAGTTGGTAGGTGAGAATATTTTCAATACGATCGTAGCTTAAGAGAAAAGATTGAGGTTTAATTTAAATAAGCGGAACACAACTGACAACTGGTCACACACACAATCATAAACCTTATTTATGATTTGCTATTTTCCATAAACTTTCATTGCCAAACGCTAAATTTTCAGTTATTTTAAATATCTCTCTGGAGGATCAAACTCCAGAAAATTAAGTAAAAATTGATCCGAAGATTTAAAAAAAATGCATATTTGACTCTGACCAACCAACAATGGATTTGCACAATCGTCGTGACATTCTTCAACAAAAAGTTACACTCTCTTCCACACTTTTGGCAATTTTCGGATTAAGATTCTTCGCAATCCATGCATTTTAGATTTATAGTATCTTCCGCAATATTGCAGATAAAAATACTGGGAACATCTTGGTCGGCAATATTAACCCTCTGCAGAGCCAAGAATATTTTAGTCCTTTTTAAAATATAGCTAAAAACTTTCTTTAAACCACCGTTTGGAACGAATTAGGAAATTTTCAAAAAATAAAATCCGTTTAAAAATTATGTTAAAATCTTAAAAATACACAATAAAGCCGTTATATTGGGGTTTATATCGCGTGGATCAACATAGGCATTGTTTGTCATAAGCCATTCCGATATTCAAATTCGAAACTTATAATAAACGGTGAATAATGTGCTAAAATCATCAAAATATCGTATCGGAATATTTCGGGAGGTACCGTTATATCGGATCTATACGAAGACCTGGACCTGCATAGATAATTTTCTGTCACACGCTGTAGCATCCATTACGAACTTCAAATACGACATCTCAAATAATTTCGGTGAGTATTGTACCTCAAAATCGGCCTATACGAAGTCCTGGACCTGCACATACAATTTTCTGTCTCAGGCTGTAGCATCCATTTCGAATTTCAAATACCAAATTTGAAACAATTCCGGTGTATAATATCTCTTAAATCATCAAAATACCGAATATCAGGAGGTACCGTTATATGGGGGCTATACAAAGACGTGGACCTGCACAGACAATTTTCTGTCATAGGCTGTAGCATCCATTGCGAACTTCAAATACGACATCTCAAATAATTTCGGTAAGTATTGTACCTCAAAATCGTCAAAATAACGAATATCGAGGAGGTACCGTTATATGGGGGCTATACGAAGATGTGGAGCTGCACAGACAATTTTCAGTCGAACTTCCAATGCCAAATTTGAAACAATTCCGGTGCATAATGTCGTTAAAATCGTAAAAATACCGAATATCGGGAGGTACCATTATTAGGGGAATAAAGTCCTGCAGACATTATAAACATTTGAGTAGAATTTTATCAACCTACTTTATTTCGTCCGGAAACTAGAGTGATTTCCACAGACGGACAGACGGACGGACATGGCTCAATCGACATAGAATTTTATGCTGATCAAGAATATATACAGGGTTGCCCATATTCGACGGACCCATCTGGCAACGCCATAACTTTTGGCGGAGATGTCACATCGCTTAATGACATACCGCGTTTGAAGCGTCAGTCCAAGCAGATTTTTACCATGAACCAATACACGCCACGCGAGGTCTCTGAAATAGTTGAAGTTTACATTCAACAGAAGAAGTCAATTGTGAAAACTCATCGTGCTTTTAAAACATTAAAAAATGTGAGAAGTGCGCCTTCTAAGAACACCATTAAGCGTTTATACGAAATACGACTGGTAAGGCTCTTTCTAATCCGAAGAGGCCATCTAAAAGTCGACCAAGGCGATCGGGAAAGAATATCGCTGCCTTACGAGCCAGTGTTGAGAGGTCCCCAAGAACATCCCAAAAAACGCCGTTCTCAGCAGTTGGACATGGCTCGGTCCACTTTACAACGGATTATTCGCATTGATTTGCATTTGTTCCCGTACAAAATTCAATTGACGCAAAGAATGTTGCCTGCGGACAAGCCTCTTCGATTGGAATGGGCCCAAAGGTCCGTCGAATATGGGCAACCCTGTAATATATATATTGTGGAGTGCAAACTGTATATTTCGAGGTGTTACAAATGCAATGATAAACTTAATATGCCCTCCATAGTAACGGATTTTATTTTTTTGAAAATTGTAAAATTCGTTCCAAATGGTGAAGGGAATTCAAAGTTCGACCCCGCCGAAGATACAGCTTTTTTTTATGTTTTATGTTACACAGTGTTATCGAACTAGACTTTGTCTATGCAACAAAGTATCAGCGAAATAATCGTACTCTCCCACGATTTGTCTACACATAATTAAACATTTCTTACATACAAACCTGCAGAGTTTCGGATTTAAATTTGAGACTCTAAAATAATTCCGTTTAATTTTTTTTTTTTTTTTTTTTTTTTTAAATTATAGAAATTTTATCCTGAACTGCAAGGAAGTCCACTTCCTTTTGTCAGCTTGTGAACGAAATTCAAAACACTGCCGTTGATGTTAATGCCTTCGCGAATGCAATGCAACAAGTTGCAGAAGTCCACAGCACTCTTGTTCATTGTGGTCAATGATTGAAACTCATGACAGGGGAAGCAGATCAGATTAATCATTTGGCAGCTAAATGATAACGAAACTGGAGAAGGGTTATATTTCATACCTAGGTACCCACAAACATGCACGCATACTCGTACATAAATATATACAATTCATGAGCCCTTTTCGAAGCGATTTAACAAATTATGTCTACACAATTTTTACATCGGGTTGTTTCCAATGAAATGAGCATGAAACACATATATATTTATCTCTTTACTTGCATTTGCATCTTTATGTGCATTGCATTGCATCAAATGCTCGGCTTCCAACCTCTGGCTGAGCAGTGTCAACAGGAAATATTTATTTAATTAATTTGCATACATGCATACTTATCTATGTTTGTGATGGTATGTGTGTTCTATGTAATTTTTGTAATAAAAGTGTTAATTTCTTTTTGGAAAATGATAAATTTCAAGGAGTTACAGTTTAAACCAAAAAAATCGATTTTGAAAACGAAAAATACGCAAAGAAAAAACCAGTATATAAAGTTAAAGTTTAAACCAAAAAAATCGATTCTGGTGTCGAAAAATACTCTGGAATCGAAAAATACTCTGAGGGGCTTAAGCCGATTTTTAATCGATAAAGAAAATGTGCAGAAAGTAAAAAAAATGTATATATAAATACCGAATATTGAGAGGTACCGATATATGGGGTCTATATAAGGACATGGACCTGCATATACAATTCTCTGCCATTGGCTGTAGTACTTCAAATACGAAACAATTCCTGAAATCAGCAACATAAAATCCGTTAAAAAAACCTGGTAAAATTTTAAAAATATCGAATGTAGACGTTATATTAGGGTCCATTCAGTTAGTAATGTAGCTGAAATCATCGAAATACCGAATATAGGGAGGTACTAGTATATAGGGGTTATGCCAAATCGTCCACAGACAATTCGCTGTCATAGGCTGTAGTATCTATCACGAACTTCGAATACGAAATTTGAAACAATTCGGGTAAAAAATGTAAAGAAGGCGAAAAACCAGTAAAGAAAGTCTTAAAGTCGGGCGGGCCGACTTTATGATACCCTACACCACTTTGCTAACTTAGTAGAGCCCCACATAACAATTAAAAATTTTTATGGGAGAATTCAATCATACCCGCAATGATTATAATTATAATTTAAAGTTCAAAGGACTAAATATGCCGAAGCATTTGTATCTTTTAAATTCGGAATTGTACTGCCCATTTGGTGCACAATTAATTTGAAATCGGATGAAAATATATATGGGAGCTATATCCAAATCTGAACCGATTTTTACAACATTTGGCATAGATATTTCTGAGCTGTATTTGATATATTTCCCTGAATATTGTTGTTACGGAGTGCATATTACGGCTGTGGGTAACAATTACTACAAATCGGATGAAGAATATATATGGAAACTATAGCTATATCTGAACCGATCCTCACCAAATTTGGCATACTAGCTTCTAGACTCAATTCGGTCGTAAGTCCCAAATTTCAATCCATTTTGGCAAATATTAGAGGTTTGGTGCACAATAAAATGTAAATCGGACGAAGTTATATATGGAAGATATATCCAAATCAGAACCGATCTCGATAAAATTTAGCAAAGGTATTTCTGAGCTGTATTTGATATATTTTCTCAAATATTGTTGTTAAAGAGTGCATATTACGGCTGCGGAGGGCAAAAATAAGATATCGGATGAACAATATATATGGGAGCTATAGCTATATCTGAACCGATTTCGATCAAATTTAGCATACTTATTTCAAGGCCTAATTTGGTTGTATGTGCAAAATTCCATACTATTCGGGCAGATAATACACGTTTGGTGCACAATAAAAGGCAAATCGGACGAAGATATATATGGGAGCTATATCTAATTTTTTACCAAATATCTCCAATTTCCATAGGGCTCTTCCTTGGGCCAAACAAATTATTTGTGCATCTGGATAGGGGAATAAATGCGAACTGTACTTTGTTTACAAAAATACATGGACAGACAGACGGACATGCATAAACCGAATCAGAATGTGATTTTATGCAGATTATCAAAAGGAACTATGGGTCTATCTCGTTTCCTTTTGCCTGTTACAAACAAATGCACAAAGACATAATACCCTGACCACCTTGTGGTTTAGGGTGTAAAAATATCGAATGTAGCCGTTATACTAGGGTCTATGCCACGACGTGGACCTGTATAGGCAACTTTAGTCGTAAGCCATTACAATATTCAAATACGAAACTTGACAAAAAATTCGGTTATTAATGTAGCTGAAATCATCGAAATACCGATTGTAGGGAGGTACTAATATATGAAACATTTCCGGTGAAAAATGTCGCGGAAATATGCAAAAACCCGAATGTAGGGAGGCACAGTTATATGGGAGCTATACCCAAACCTGGACATATTTACCACATTTGGAATACCAGAGTAGTACTCATTTACAA